AGTATTACAATTCAATTTGGTAATCCAGCAAAAAGTTATTGCATAATTCTGGATTCATTGTTATTCCATGATAGTTAATTAAATTACTACCAGAGTCAATGCAGAATAAAGCAACAGGAGAACATATCTGGAAAGAAGGCTGATAGAGGAGGAGCAAGATTTAAAAGTTGCCAACTGTAGGCTGTGGGTAAAAGCCCTCAGGTTGCCTTATCTTTCTCCTTTAATTATGCCAGCAGGCTTGGAATTCCTGCATACAAATTTGCATTGGTTCCAATTCCCCTTTCATGTGTTTGCAGGTAGTGGCAGGAGCTGTTACTGGTTTCAGCTGAGCTGACATTAATAACCCTTTACCTCTCTCTATTAGTAGATTATGGATCAGAGAGTCACAGAATGGTTATGGTTTGGCCTTTAAAGGATGACCTTTAAAGCTCATCTAGTCCAATCCCCCACAATGACCAGGCTGCTCAGAGCCCTGCCCAAACCTGGCCTTGAATTTTCCCAGGGATGGGACACCTACTGCCTTTCTGGGCAACCTATTCCAGTGTTTCACCACCCTCATCATAAAAGATTTCTTGATTATATGTAGTCTGAATCTACCCTCTTTTAGTTTAAAACTGTTCCCTTTTCCTATCACAGAAGGCCCTGCTAAAAAGTCTGTCCCCATTTTTCTTATAAGTCCCCTTAAGTACAGAAAGGCCACAAAAGACTCTCCCTGCAGCCTTGTCCAGCTCAAAAACCCCAACTCTCCCAGTCTTTCTTCAGAGGAAAGATGTTCCACTTCTCTAATAATGTTTGTGGCCTTTCTCTGGAATCACTCCAACAGGTCCATGTCTTTTCAGTGCTGGGGACCCCAGAGCTGGATGCAGCACTCCAGGTGGGATCTTGCCAGAGCAAAGCATGTAAATCACCTCCCTTTACCTGCTGGCCACACCGTTTTGATGCAGCCTAGGATGCAGATGACTTTAAGAGCTAACTCAATTTAGATTGTCATTGACATACTTCAGTAAATTTTGAATTGTTTCTTGAGCTTTAAGTAATGTGAAATACAAAGTGTTTTTCATAATCCAGTGCTTGAAAACTCAAAGTTTTCAAAAATGATGTAGTGTTCTAACATCCCAGGGTACTTGGAAACAGCATTCTGAGATATGGAAACTAAGCTCATTAAAAATTATAAATTCTTCACAAAAGAAAATGTTACATGTGGAGTTAAATCAAGGGAGGGATAAAGGTAAGGCCTGATACACAGACTGAGAGTAGAAGTTCCCAGTTTAGAAATACATACTTTGTTTCTTGTATCCTGGCTAGATTTTACTCTGGATGCCCCCTGCACTGAATTAATAACTTTTCTTTACAGTTGTTCCTACAGAAATACCTTTATAGAGTTTGGCAGAGATGGGCCCAAGACTACCACAAAACCCAGGGAATGCACAATCCACTTTTTCTCTCATAAATTACTTCTACATTAAAAAAGAAAAAAAAAATTTAAAAAATTGTTATATTTATGACTCCTATGTGGGCAAACCCCTCATATACTTAGAAACTGAGCTTTTATTGTTCCATAGCTTTCTTCCTAGTAAAGATCAAACACAGATCTGTGTACCTGATATATGTTCTTCCTGTATGAGAGTGATTTAATTTGTATAATATGCACCTGCTATAAATACTTGTTTTCAAGGAAAAGTTGGAAGCAGAGAGGTTATTTTACCCTGGAAGAGCGTGGATATGCTGAGTATTGATTAGGGGCTGGCTTTATATTAAGTGGCATTTGAAAGACATAATAGTTCTTTCTAGCATCCTTTTGCCATGTCTACTATATTTAATATTATTAGTTCTACCATTAAAAAAACACAAAAAAAAAAGCCCCTCAAGCAGCAACAAGAAATTAAAGCCTCCTATTTTTAATACCGAATTCTTGATACTGCAGAATAGCTTCATCATACATTTTGTATTAACCCAATTAAGTATTAAAACATGTAGAATATATTACCTGCTTTTCTTATATATATTTTGAGGTTATGGATATTCCAAGTCATGCCCCCACCCAGCCTGCCCTTTTGCTCTGAAGTAGGTGATGTGCCATCCTTGCTCCTTTCTGAGAGGAGAAAATGATTCCTTTTTGAAATTCTTTAAAAAAATTAGTCACCTGAAATCCCTAGATTTCTCTCATAATGCATTGGTTAACTTGGAGGTAAGGATATTGGTTGGTTGGGTGGTTGGCTGGTTGGTTAGAGTTTTCCTAACAACTAGGGTTAAGAAAGATGTAACCAATAAACACCAAATCTTGAAAGCCAATGGAAGACAAGGTCAGGAAGGTCTCAGCTGTGCAGAGCAACATTGCAATAGTTACATTTTTGAAATGAGAGACTTTCAGTGCCTAATTCAAGTTACAATATATCACTGTGAATAAGGTGATTCCTGAGACATGTATCCTAAGAAGTGGGTAGGTTTCATGCTGAGGCGGTAACTGTATTTCTGCACTTGATCCTCTATCTAAAACATATTTTCCTGTAGCTATCCAGAAGGCACTTCAGAATGCAGGCATGGATTTAGCCTATTTCAAAATGAGCACCCAGCACAAACCGACCTTTGGCAGTAGTCTGAGTGAAGGAGACTTAGAGCTTGGATAAGTATTTCAAATTTTTTTCTTTCACAAAGATTTTATTACACCAGTGGGTGAGTATGCAGAAGAACATATTGTCTCTGCATGTTGAACTGACAACACTTGAAGGAACTCCTCTTTAATAGCAACTGTGATTTCACAGGAACTCAAACACAGCAAATCACAGAACTCTTGGCAGCATCATGGGAATCCCTAGGCCAGAAGACCAAACATCCCAGAGGCCTCACAGTCAGAAGCCAGAAAACCCTATGCTATCTTGAGAAATCAAGGTCCTCTTTAAAATACATCCTGTAAATTAAGATTAGGCCCCTCCAGGGAGAAGTTCTTCGGGATAGGGAGATATCACACTATTCATTCAAGCCTCTCATCGAGGCATCTTTATTAGATATGGTGATCTGCAGGGTCTATAAAATTGCAAACACAATCTACCAGGGGTGTGCATTTTGATACATTCCACCTTGGCAAAGTGGTGCACCATAAAGATCCTTATTAAATACCAAAGTAAAAACCCTTTACGCCTTAACTGTGGGAACCGAATTAGCTGGGATAGACGATACCTTGGACCGGGTTCCTGACACAGAGGAAATAAACTTGATGACTTGGGAGGTGGGGTGATGGGGGAATGCTGATGGAGTCGTTCCACAATAGGTCATGTCCCTGATCCATGGTCACAATTGGATACCTGCCCTCAGATACCCCTATATATTGTTGACATGTCCCCTGGTCTTTGGAAGCAGCCCTTCAGACCATGTGGTCTCTGTGAACATTGAAATCTGTCTTTGGGGACTCCATCATACCTGTCCAATCTATTCCGCCATGCTGGACCCAGCCAAACTGGGAGAGAGGTCTCAGAATCCCACTGCAACACTTAACCATGTCTGATTCTTAATTTTTAGGACCAAGGAAAAGGCATCAGTTTCTGTTCTAGAGTTATTTTAGCTAACTTAAAGTGTTTTTATTGAAAAAATGGCATCAGTATATTACTACCTTTGAAGTTTCTCTGACTTAGGTGGAATAGCAATTAAGTCTATGTGTGAACTGAAGCTGAGCAGTAGTGTTGTCAAAACAAATGTATCTGCTGCTTCCCTATCACAAACACTAAGACATTTGTGTGGCTGAATGCTGAAATAAATCTAAAAGGATTTACATATATATATATATATATATATATATATATGAACACCAAAAAATACCCCAATTGATTATCTTTCAACTGGATCAGCTTTCCAGTTTGGTTAATTGTGGTGATGTAACAACTGACATATTCAAAAGATATAATGTAGAAAATGGTGTGACTGGAAGTGGTAAAGGAGAAATAGCACTTAGGTTTCATATGCTGCTTTAAAAGCTGATTGTCATGCATTAAACTAAGATTTTTTTTTTTTGAAATTAAAATGAAACTTGTTAGTTTTTCTTCTACTTTTTATAGTAGTTTATAGTAGTTTATAGCAGTATAGTAGTATTAGTAGTACAATAGTGTAGTACTATAGTAGTGCTACTATAGTAGTATAGTTTTATAGGTTTATTTTATTTTTTCAATGGTAATATAAAAATAAAATCACTATTTTTTCCATGTTTGTAATAATGAGAATATTTTCATGAAAAAATGGGAGTGAAATGAATGCCTTGCTGATGCAGCAAAGGATAGCTTTTATTCCTGTATCCTCCTTGTCATGGCAGAGATCCTACCTCACTCCCTGATACATGGCTCCTGGCCACACAGTCCTGCACATTCCTTTGCTTTCCCTCTGGCACTCATCAAACAATTCTCCAGGTCAGTTTAGCTCATTCATCTAGCAGAGAAGAGAGTCCTCTCTTTCCTGATTGACTTGTTTTCTGGCAAGTTGACATATGACATGAGCTCACAGAGGAATCCAGAGAACACAGGAGTTTGTGCAAGGTACAAAATATGTGCATTGGCAACTTCTGATTGGAAGCATGAAAAAGAGAATGAAAAAACAGGGGGAAAGTTGTCATCTCCTCTTTCAGTGTATGTGAGCTCTTGGATCAGGTCATCTTGACACGTCACAGTCTCAGGTTGATGAATGCCAGTATTAAAGGAGAACAGAATTTGTAATTCAGTCTTGTTTCTCTTCTAACTTCATGCTCATTTAAATTAAAAGGCTTGCTGTTTTGGACTACTCGCTTCTGTAAAGTATCAAATTTCTATCACTCTGGACTGTATTTTGGAAATGTAAAATTAGTTCAGACTAAAGTTGTTTTGAAGTAGGAATCAAAGTAAAACTCAGGAAATACAAAACAGTACTATATTTTGCACTTAAGCTTTCATATTACTATCCTATGAGGATATAACTTGATTAATTCGCAGGTATTCACAAGTATACACAAATTCCCCTTACAAATTGACAGTATACACAAATGGTTTCAAGAAGATAGCTTTATTTCTTTCTCCTTGGAAATGTTGTCTTATCTTGTGCTCACAGTAGCATCAGGGAAGAAAATTAGATTCTGTTTCCCCTGGGAAGCTGTGCTGTTTTTAATTATCTTTGGAGCTGCAAAACAAATTGCCATATTATTGCTTTGTAAACTTCCATCTATCATCCATACAGTAGTTTATTGCTTTATTACTGATTTCAAAGGCCACAGTGAAGATAGCTACTTCTATTAATAGTTACTAGTACAACTAACACTATTAACTGACTGAACAATATAGCAAGAGGTACATTTGGAGTGGAAGTCAACTGTGAGACCTTCCTATGTTTTCTGTGACTTTTGTAGAGTCATTTCTGTACTACTTTTTGCAAGTAAACTTACTTGTTCGATTTTCTCTGTTACCAAATTTCAAAGCAGTTGGCATGCTTACCTTTGTATAATGGAATCACATCACTTCATGTGTAAGACTAACTTAAAGAATAGTCATCATATTCAAACAGTATTCAGAAGCTCTCCTAGTTGTACATAAAGTCCCAATGCTACTGACATTAGTCATCAATTTTGGCAACAGAGCCTATTACCAAAAAATTCTTATTGTTCAATACCAACCTAAATTTTCTATATGCCTTGCATGTTGCTATTCTAAATCTGTCATGCTTTCTTTATATTCCTAGATAGTCTAAAAGTATCATTAACATAAAGTCAGCAAGTTTGTTCCTAATGCTTCCTTTATAGCTCTAACATGTACTGTCAATGGGAGATGAATTTCAGCAGCTTATGTTCCATTATTTCAGCATAATGGAGTTTTTTAAATGGCCATCACAAAATAACTTCTTCCTAACACGTGAGTTTAAAAAAATTAAAATATTATTTCCTCTGAAAAATGGCTAGTTCTACATGATTTGTCAAGGTTTTGTGTACATTTACTATGTCAGCATCAATTTCATGTCCTACAATGCTATCTTGAGTGCACTTACTTTTTTCATTAATATTTATTATCCACCTCAGTATTGATTCATGACATTGAATTAAAAAACAGTTTATCAATCAGCTCTGATAGATATTGTGGTATTGCTCAAACTTCCTGACTTAAACACTCGTACAAGTCCTAATTTAATCAATTCCTTTTGTAGATGATCATCCAGTGAGTGACGAATCAAATGCATATTGGGTGCAATTTAATACAGATAATGCATTAAAATTAGGTCTTCCTAAGCAACAGAATCAAACAATTCAAAAATGAAGGTACAAATGCATTAATTGAAACAGTGATATTGCAATGCTGTTACAGGATTTTGAGCTTCATTCAAAAGTGAACAGTAGAGTTAGGTGAGTTCAGGTAAAACCTATAGTGAAACACTTAAAAAACCTACAAGACTTCACTCACCATTTGAATTTTGCCTAAATATTTTGGAAAGATAATTACACATATAGTACTGCAGCCTTGCAGTGTGGTAAACTGGTTACATACAGCTTCATTCTTCAGTGGCTGGAACATTTCTGGCACATCACACGTCTCATTTAAAAACAGCTGTCTTGCAGCATGCTCAGCAGCACAGATATAGCTGAGACATCTAACGAGCCTCTTCAGTTTCTTGTGCATTAATTCACTTTTGGAGGAGCCTTTTCAGTTGGCATCTTATATCATCAATTAGTTTCTTGACATTCATACATAATTGGTGGACTCATTAAGACATTAATTTTCAACACTAACGTCCTATGTTCCTGCTAGCTTGTTTTGAAACCTGGAATGGGTTTGTAAGCATTTTGGGAACTGAATTATCAGTAGTCAGCATAGGGAAAAAAGGATTTCTGATGTATTCAGAATAGGTCTGCTGTCTTGAAATACCTGGTTTGAGTGTTCTTTGATTGCATTTAAATTTCCATTCTGTTGGTTCTTTGTATTTATGTAACTGCATATTATGCCTCTAAGCATTCCTTTCGCAATAAAAACTGAATTTATTTTAAATTTTGAATGTTAGCTTTGGTATTATAATTAGGTTATGCCAAGATACAGTATTAGAATATAGTAATTTCAATTAGAGTAATTTTAGTATTTTGTTTTTAATGTGTTTCTGTGATGTTTTTGGGTTTTTTTGGTAGCTTTATCCTTTTTTTATATGTATGCTTACAAAAATACAGTCACAATATCATTTTTAGCTTGCCCAGCATTTTCCAGCTCAGCAGCGCTCCGTTGTCTCCTTCTTACCTAGCAGACTGCAGCTTTCTGAGCTGTTCTCAGGCAAACCATGCTGCCAATAAATGGTCTAAATTAGCAGATTTATTTTAGCCATCTGATTTTAATTTTGGAGATGTTTAACTCATCAGGCTTTTAGTCTTAAATTTTAAAAGCTCTCACAAAGATTTACTTGCAAATAAAGTAAAATAAAGGCTTTACATCATTTTTACCAGACCTGTCACTGTCTGAAATACTTTTATCAGCCTCCATTCTGTAAAACTATGGGCAGCAGATATAAAGTTAAGCAATATAAACCTTCTAACAAGAACTTGTGTTGCCTGAAATGACTCTCCAGCACATGTTGTATGTAGAACCTGCTCACATGGCAAACCCATAGACTCTAGTATCTCTATTCTTGCTCATCTTAAGCACTTGTTTTTCTGGACATGCAGCCAGAAAATTGTGGAACAAGAAAAAAACACTGTCATTTACTAACATTACAAAACTTCCTCGGCATGCTCAAACTTAGGTGTCTAAAGTGGACTCATCAACTTATATTCAGGGCCATCACCTTCAGTTACAACTGGTTTTTTTACATGATCATGTGATTCTATAGATATCTTTAAAAATGTGAGTCAATAGAGCAAGTTATTCTGAATAAATGTATTCTGGGTCAACTTACATTACTTTTCCTATTCCAATCCCAAAGCAACAAGATAATTTCTAAATTACAAGGAGTTTTGTGTTTATAAATGTAAAACAAAGAACAAACTGGACATGGCTTACTGTTAGGAAGGAACTTAACCAAGCTTGAGAAATCTGCAGTCCTAATTGAGTTCAGCAAAGACAAATGCAAAGTGGTACACTGGGTAGAATAAACCCCTGCAGCAGGTGCAGGATCTAACAGGTTATTTACAAGCCCTGCAGAAAATTTGGGCTTTTCCTGAATAATGAGTTGAACATGACTGCACTACAAGTTGGGCTTTATTAACGAGAGCAAATTGAGAGAAGAAATTATTTTCCTCTACTCAACACTTAAGAGGCAGTGCTGTTTTCCACTTTGGGGTTCCTCACATAAACAAGAGATCATAACACACAAGAGTCCAGAGGAGATGGTATAGGCTAGAATATACACTAGGAATAGGCTGAGCGACATGGTTTTGTTTAGTCTGGAGAAGAATTGGGGAAAAGCGAGCAGGAGGAGAATCTAATTACAATCTTCCACGTGGGGGCATATGGAGAAGATGAAACCAGATTTTCACTAACACAAACTGTGAAATGGTAAGAGGCAGCTAACATTTCCATAGCAACAAAGACAATTCCAGTTGGAGATTAAAGAAGCATTTTTTCCACTGGTCAAGCATCTAGACATGACTTTTGAAATATGATTGAACAGAACACTGTGCAGCAGCTTTGTTGACATTGAAGTTAGAGAGCTCATTTAAGCAGAATTTGGATAATTGAGGATGTGCTGAGGTCCCTTACAGCCTGAGTTATTTTATGATTCTAAGATACAAGCAAGTTACATACAGTGTAGTATATTAAATTTGATTTCTTCTCTGAAGACAGTGTCGGAAAATTATCAAATACATAACTGTTTTTCATTTAAATCCTATCCTGAAGTTGTAATGTGGATTAGTGGAGTCACATGCAGAATTGTGGTGAAAAATGACACAGACTGTAAGTCAGAAAAAAATTATGATTATGTCTCCAATTTATAAAATGGAAGTTGGAACACAGAGGAGATGACAACACAAGAACAATCATAGAAATTTCTGATAGTGTCTTTACTGAAGGAAAAAAGGGCTGCAGTCTTTAGTCATTTAGTCATTTGTGTATACCTGTGGTGGGCGGTTGGCTGGCTGAGTTTTGTGCACACTGGCCAAAAACTGCTTCTTGCTTAGCAGGCAGTGTGTGTGAGGGTGCTTCTGGGGCACAGGGAGGTAATGACTTAGCTGAACATAAGGGAATTTGACTAAAAACTGGAGGTAGTGTTGTAGAGGAAGACATGCATGTGGGCTGTACAGAAGAGTATCTCAAGCTAACACTGGACATAAGGGACATGTATCCTCCGGTGAAATTACAGGGAACTGATCCACAAGCCTTTTTACTTCCTTGCTTCCGTGTGATAGGAGAAATGGATGTCACCTTTGGGTTTCAACTCAATGTCACACATTAGGTATTTTGTAATTCACACTCACCCTGCTCTACATTCTAGCAATATCACATTGTGCAGGCCTTGGGACAAAAGGTTTTGTCTTTTTAGCAGTAAGATTTGGTTTTCTCCCAGATGTAGTCATTGAATCTGTATAGAAATGCAAGAAGACTTTAATTGGCAAAGTAAAATTTGCTTATATCCTGGACTGCTCATTGAAGTTTTTTATCAATGATTTTAAACTTTGATTTTGGGGTTACTTCCGATTCTTTGTGATGACTTCTTTTTTAAATTGAAAACAGTTCCTAGGTGGCAGTTCGCTCTCCAGAGCATTGCCTGTCTCTCCTATGCCTCGTGCACCACCTACTGGATTCTTTTTTAATATCCTGCCAAAGATTCATCCTTTCACAGGTCCATGAAATACAGGATTTACTTGTTTCCAAAAAGAAAACTCACAACCCCATTTCTTTGGTGAAAAAATGTCTTAATTATCAGAAACAAGGCTTAATTCATGTCTTCTTTTCAACATCCAGTTGTATTTAGCAACATCATAAAGCGTTTTTTCTTTAACATATGACATCAATAATCATAATTAATGGCATTCTGGTTGGTGTAAAATATCTGAGGAAAACAGCTACTTATTCAGTAAATAAATCAGGAGTTGTTATATGGTCTGCATTCTGCAGAGCAGTAAAAATTTTGGATAAAATGAAATTTTTAAGACAATCTCATATTACTTCTAAAAAGAATTAGAAACACCACTTAGTCCAAAATTCTCTCAGGTA